CTAAGTCTAAGTCTAAGTCTATTCCTTTTTAACACATTTGTAATTGTTTATTGAATATTTTTGAAAATATTATCGCTGATCATTGTGTCTTCCCCATATGATCATCAATGGGGTGTTAAATAGGGGGTATCTTTTTGTTTGCTTTTGTAAGTTTATGCCCCTTTCTATTCTCATTTGTGCAAATACTAGCTTTCTCTTCTAATTTCAATTTTTTTTGTCCTTTTAAATTTGTATATCTTTTTGGATTTGTTTCCTCTTCTGTCATCTGTGATGTGCTTTGTAGCTGAGGCATTATTTTGTAGTTTACATCTGAAAGTTGTTTCATTTAGTTTGGAGAAGTTGGATTCTCACTTCTCCATTTCAAGTTGCTGACAAGAAAGGGCTCTGGTCTTTGACATGACATGACATGACATGACATGACACGGAGGCTGGCATAGGAAGGCCAGTATACAATTTGTTGCTATTGAATCGTTCATCCAATCTAAAGCTTTTACTGCCAACTACTCTTGAGAAGGATTTTTGAAGAAAAAACACCCTTTCGTGCTTGTATTTGGATTATCAATGTTATTTCATGAAGCTTGTATCTTAGAATATAAAGTGTAAATATTCTGCAGCCTGCTTCTTGGCAGATTATGGAATATATCATTAGACATTCATTATTTGGTTCATCTAGTTTTGCTACATGTTGCAGAAATCCAGTTGAAGGCATTGCTGTTTCAGTGACTGCTTTGTGCATGCATTCCATTCCAGAGGTAATCGCTGCTAAAGAGATTTGCATACATTGTAGGGTTGTACAGTGGTTTGGAAACATATGAGGTAGTGGATATGCAGCTCCATAAAAATTATTTGTCTTCCTTGGAACACAAGGCTCATTTTTGCTCATTTTCTTCTAAGAATTGCTATTCAAGAGAATATCAGTTCTTTTCAAAGAAAAGTTTATTGTACAATTGTAATTGCTTCTTTTATATAATACCTAATATCTAAATGCCATCTTATTTCATTTTAAATGATCTATAACTATTTGGGCTATTTCTGGAATTCCAGAATTTAAAAATTGTTGAATTAAATATGTTATAGGTAGGCCTTCACTTATGACTGTTCAATGATGGCCCAAAATTACTATGACCTTAGAAAGGGTGCTTTACTTCCTGCCCATTGCAAAACATGTGTGCACACTCACGGTTCTGTAATAATGATCTGGGTGTTTGGCACACTTGTTGGCAGCTTGTTTTCACTTACAACCAGTTTTGTTTATTTGCTAAATTTATTTGTTGCCCATCTTGCCTTGAGACTTTTTTTTTTACAAATAATTCAACGCAGCAAATATACAGCCAATACATCTTCCTTCTTCCCCCTATTTTCCCCACAACAAGCAACCCTGTGAGGTGAATTGGGCAGAGAGAGTGACTAGCCTATAGTCACCCAGCTGACTTTCATGGTGAAGGCGGGATTTGAACTCACTCTTGAGATAGCCCAATGCCTTACACTAGACCAAACTGGGTCTAAGCATTAACCACTAGACCAAACTGGTTCTCATTAAACCAGTTGTTGAGTGCCCTGATGTCATATGATTGCCATCTGCAATCTTCTCTACCAACTTCCCAAGAAAGTCAATGGGGAAGCTGGTAGGGAAGGTTGCAAACTGCCAATACCTGCCAAGAGGACTCCCTCTGATGTTTTTTTTTGGGGGGGGGGGGAATTGGCTGAAATCCTCCACAGGCAGCTTTTTCACTTAACTGTATACTTAACAACCATAACTGGAAGTGCAGGGATTGTGGTGATTAAGTGAAGCAGTGGCATAATACCATAATTGCTTCGCTCAGCAACTGTGATTCCAATCCCAATTAGGGTAAATTGAGGACTACCTTATAGTTTATATAAAAAGCTTATAGATAGCTAGGTGTGTATCTGAAATCCTGGAATGAGTATAGAAATCAAATAGAGATTATTATACTGCTATATCCATGCCAATCTTGGCTCTAAAGCATCTGTAGCGCTAGAATGCAAAGTGTTTTCCATTCACATCGCACAACTGAATTTGGTTACACTATTACTTTTCCTGCTAACTTCTCTTTAAATATAGTTTTTATATGCTTGACTTAAGGCATTGGTTTTCAATCTAGTGCGCAGACCCCTGAGGGGCTGTGATGTCATCATAAGGGATCCGTGAAGGCCTAAAGAAATATTGTGATTTAAATCTAGAGTTAAGTCTTGGTGGTCTATGGCCACAAAAGGTATTTGAAGGGAATCCGTGATGAAGGAAAGATTGAGAATCATTGGAGTAGGGAATTTCTTTCAAAACTGAAGTAACTATTTGTCTGATCTTACGCCTTGATGTAAGCAACCCTAAACAAAATCTTGAATGCAGTACACATACATTTCTATACTAAGCAATATCATTTTTATTGTTTAAATCAAGTAGTCTATTCTTCAATAATTGAATGTTCCCATATTTCCATAAATTATTCTTCTTTGACAGGCCCCTGCCTATTTGCAAATCGGTTCTCAAATCTTTGGTTGAAGTTCAACATTACATGAATGAACATCTCTGTATATTATGAAACTTTCTTTACTGTTACCCATTATGCCTCATGTTGTGCTAGGTTGGGGGAACTCTAGGGAGTTAGAGAGATAATAATTGCTTCTCCCACTTACATGAGTGGAATAACTTCTCACAGAAAAATAATTTATTTCCATTTTCTGTGCTGACTTTTTATCCATGGCCCTCGTAAAAGGCCAGTAATACAGTTTTGTTTGTTTCTACATAGGCCTTTAGAAATATGTAATAATATACAGGGCTATATCTTATAGGTAGAAAATCCTATTTCTCTTATTTTCACTCCGGTTTCTACTTGAGGCAAAATAGAAAATATTCTGAGTCTTAATTGGCAATGGTAAAATAATTCTTAAACTTGGCATATTGACTTTTAGTTTCTTTATATGCCTCATCATATTTTAAGACTTAAGTCAATATAATTCTTGCAACCTTTTATGGAGACTGATTACATATTCTACTTTTTTCCAATTCCTCATACTGTTTCACCCTGTAATCATAATAAAAGATGACAAATAAAAACAATTGAACCATAGGGAAGTAAAATTATCCCGATTTGGGGAATGTTGCTATTGTCATTTTTCTCCCTCACCAACTTATTGGGGTATCCCCTTTGAGTATTCCATTTTTAAAACTTCTCTGATATCTGCTTTTTTCTTTGTAGGTTTACATCGATTTCATATAAGCCTGGGCAGTTGCAGCTTATGTGGAAACCAGGCTATGCAGTGAAACCATCTGCTGGGCAGCCCAACTCTGTCAGGAGGTACTCTTCAGATGCTCCTGGATCTGACAATTGTCCAAATCCTTCAAAAATTGACTAAAATCAGAGGTGTAGTTATATGTGTGTTTTAAGTAATATAATCAACCTTATCAAATTGATGGCTTTTTTTAAAAAATCATTTCAAAAGATATTTTCTCTTGAAACACACAAATAGTAAAGGTCTTTTCTAAAAAGATGATCATTGAGTCAAACTGAAACCTATTTTTCAACAAGAAATTGCTTATACTATGCTTTTGTGTTTAAAGATTTCATCCCTGTATTCTCTTAACTTTTGATCACTACTAAAAAAGAAACAAAATTAATAAAAATAGACACCTTTCTTGATTACTATGCCCTTTTATTCCAAAACAACAAGAAAAACAATTGAAATTAGAGTATTGCCCCAATGCAAAAGTTTAGCAGTTCACTGTACCTGTTAGGTCTTAATTTGAGTCAACCTTCTTATGCTACTTCGTAGCACCTGCTTTTCTAATGTCAAACTCTGCTTAGGAAATGTTGCACTAGCAGACTACTGGAAATATCTGTATAGAGGCTTTTCTCATCACCAATCTCCTCTCTTTCACTATTTAAGAATTAGGAACTCGGATCAATTAATGCTACTTTTTATCTTTGTCAGTGACAAGATGTCAGATGGAGTCAGAAAAATTAACTCAAATGACTATTAAAGAGTAAACATTCCATTAACCTTTACATTGTAGATGCTTCCTACTGCTAGGAGGTTTCTAGCTACATAGTCCATACATGCACTGAAAAAAGATCACCAGGCTTTCTACTGGTCTTTAAAAAGGCTAGACTCATCTGCTAGGGTTTTGGCACCTGTCAATCTGGAAGCAATTTATTTGCCCTAAGCAAGTGGTTAAACCTTAAAATATTTTAAAAATATTTGAAATAATTCTTATTCCTAAACTGTGGTCAATATTACTTAGAATGCGATTCCAACATTGTACACAGGCTGGTTAAAACTTTTTTTTTGTTTAGGAATTCTTATGTTCAGTCAAGTGTCATAGATTATATTTGTCACTTGACATTTGTCCATTCCTTCTTTTCTATGTCAATTGACATCTGCTCTCTGCTTGCAATATTTTGACTATTCTTCTGTTACAGTTGTTTGGTACTTTTCAATTTACTCCCCACATCCATTTACCTTAACAAAAAATAACTGGGTATTAGTAAAACATCTTTTTACAATAGATACCTATTGTACCCTGCATCTGTTTTATCCAACAATAAACAATTGCTTTCAGCAGCATTTTAATGCAATATTTTTAAGTAGTCCGTGTAACACTTCTTTGCATGTCATATAATTGTCTGTATTTATATGACTTAGCAACTTGCTACAGTAGGTGTTACTATCAAAATTTGTTGGTTACATTAAATATCTATTCGCTTACCAATAAAACTTGGTAAATATTTTGTACACTTTGTAAGTATTTGCCTAATGTATTCTTTTCTTGCTAAATGAGACAATAATTGCAAAATATGTTCACTTGAAATGTCATTATCCTCCTGTCTGTTTCTGGCCTTTCCTCAGACTATTTGTTCTGTAGCAAGAATGGGTGTTACAATTTTAGAGTTGAGTGAGATTTTTAAAAGTGTTTGAAGTACAATGAGGCCGCAATTGTTTTGGGGGAATTCATAAAATTGGCATTCTGAGATACTTTAGAAAATTCTCATGAACTCTTCTTCAAAAGCCATTGCTGAAACAAATGAGATTTTTGATACTTACTGTTGGTATAGAAACAACAGCATAAATAAAGCCTACTAAATGCAAATTACTAGCTATATATTATGGAGTTCTAGAAGATAATGCCTATCCTTCAACAGTAAGGTTTATTATAATAGTGCAGAGAATTTCTCTTCTTCAAACAAAACTTCAGTCTCACAATCAGGTGCCGGTGAAGTTTGGGCCTGATTTGAGTTTATGTAGCATAGGCTATTAGTTTATGTTTGAGACTGTCTTTGGAGCTCCCAAAGCCTAATATTCTTTCAAAAGTCTCAAATCAGTTACTCAAATTTTGAACAAAAATTACTTGGTCTCATTAAGGTTCATTAAGTATTCAGCTATTAATGTTTCATCTTTCACCAATGTTATAAGTCATAGTTTTTAACAAATGTGAATTATTTTTCTTGGTTCCATAGCTGATATACTGTGGTCTTTTTTCCTGGAATCTAAAGCGGTTAAGATGTATGCACCCTGCAATTTAAATATGAAGGCTTGAAAATAAGTATATTTACTGGCAAAATTTGGTGCTTATTGGGGGGTGGGGGATTCAATTTCTTATCAAAAGATTAATGATCCAATTTTTGAGATTACATAGGGAAATCCATGCAAGATCTTAAATTGTTTTTAGATCAACATGATGCATACATTTTAAAACTGCATCTGCATAAAGGATTTTATGACTAAAACTGCTTGTTTTTCTACAGACTTGTTTGGTGTTTCTCAGCTTGAAGAAGATCTACGATCATTATTGATCCCTTTCTTGGCGTAAACTTATTGAAGTGACGTTTGCCTAGCTTTCTAGAGTGAGCTTTCTTTTCAGACATCTCTAAAGTTTGATTCATAATAGACAAGCTTATAGTTCAGCAATGTCCAAGTCATTCCACCAGGCATCTCTAAATAGGGATTCCCAAGGTCATGGACGTGACCTCTCTGCAGGAATAGGCCTTCTTGCTGCTGCTACCCAATCTTTAAATGTGCCAGCATCTCTTGGAAGGATGAACCAGGGTACTGCACGCCTTGCTAGCTTAATGAATCTTGGAATGAGTTCTTCATTGAATCAACAAGGATCTCATAGTGCACTGTCTTCTGCTAGTGCATCTTCCCATGCCTTACAATCTATATTTAACATTGGAAGTAGAGGCCCACTCTCTCTGTCTTCTCAGCACCGTGGAGATGCAGAGCAGGCCACTAATATTCTAGCCAGCCTTGGTCTGTCTACTAGAGACTTAGATGAACTGAGTCGTTATCCTGAGGACAAGATCACTCCTGAAAACTTGCCTCAAATACTTCTGCAACTTAAAAGAAGGAGAGCTGAAGAAGGTTCTTCACTGAGTTATGGTAGAGATGGCAGAGCAGCTGCACGGGAACCACCATACAGAGTTCCTAGGGATGATTGGGACGAGAAAAGGCATTTTAGAAGAGATAGCTTTGACGATGGTGGTTCTAGTCTCAACCGAGTGGTTGATTATGATCATGGAAGTCGTTCTCAAGAATCTGTATATTATGACAGAATGGATTATGAAGATGACAGATTAAGAGATGGAGAAAGGTGTAGGGATGACTCTTATTATGGCGAAGCTTCGCATAAATATCGTAAATTTGACAGTGAGTATGACAGACTGAGTCGTGTCCCTGAGAGATCTCTCTTTGAGAAAAAAAGAGGTGCTCCACCAGATAGCAATATTGAAGACTTCCATGGATTCTTACCGAAGGGCTATCCCCATCTGTGCTCTATCTGTGATATACCTGTTCATTCTAATAAGGTGAGTTCAGTATCAGATGCTTGTTTTCCTTTACTTTGTAGTCCCTATTGCTTGTTTCTTTGCCTCAATTTCTGTGTTCTAAATACTTTTACAAAGGTTTCAAAAGAATTTTAAGTGACAAAGCCACTTAGTTTCTGGGGCATCATTAGCAAATCATGAAACCAGGACTTTTAATATATTGTTTCACCTATATTGCTTAAATTCAGGCCATCTAGTCTACTTATATTTTGCATCTACATAATCTCTCTACTTGGTTTGGGGTAGCTTTTCATTTTGTTTTGCAGTTATTCAGAGGCTAGATTCAACATTTCTTCCCATCTGTCTTGATTGCTAATTGGCTCTGGTTAAGATACTGTCCTTGCACATTCAGTTTTTTTCTTCTTGTCCATAGCCTGAGAAAATACTTTAATGGAAGGTCCTGGGACAAATTTGTAGGGTGATAGCATTTTTAAACTAATCCATTCTTTTTAAAATTCACTTTAAAAACTATTTTCATGCTATGGCTGAAACTTCTCATTTTTTCCTTCCTTTTCACAACCTTCTTATATACTCTAGGCTCACTTTTTATTACACATATTGCATCTATCCCTTTTTAGAAAGATAAACAGATTACTGCTGTACAGTATATCATGTTCTTATTGGCAGTTTCTGTTTAGAATAGATCTTTTAAAAAGTTTTGATCAAACATCGTTCTTATATTGTAGGTCTGAAACCAAACAAGTGTGGCTTATTCATATTTCCTAATTGTTTTACAAATGGGTTCTCTGTTAGTTTGCCAATGGGAAACTAAAGCTGAATATTATTACTGTTGTTACATTTTTTTCTTTTCAAAGCATATGGTCAGAAATCCAGGTAAGAGTGCACATTGTGTGCTTAAAATGATTTCCTTGGGTATTACTAACACTTTCTTCACTGTTGTCCTTCCTCTTCAAAGAAAATACCTTGGTGTATGCAAAATCGTTTTCAGACTAGTGAAAAATGAAATATTGTCTGTTCATCTGAAAGTTCTCCACTTGACTCTTCTATATCTGAAACTTTTTTTTCTTACCTTAATACAATATCTTTGCAAACCTCTGTGATCACATTGTTTTAGTAATATGAAGAAGTCGTTACCAACCTTAATTGTACTTGTGCCAGATGTAGCTTTCTCTGCTGATGCAGACTGATCCGTTTCACACATTTTGGCCCACAGTTCAAAGCCCATTTTACTTAAAACAATACTGTTCTGTGCAAGGCAAGATCTCTGATCTACACACTGCCTTGCAAGTTAATGCATTATTGGCTGTATCCCCATGAAGCATGATGCACATCATCCCAACCAAATGCATAGGCAGTCTGTTGTGACACGCTTGGGATCTTACTCTTTTTTTATGTGCTTTACATAGTGTTGCTTATCCCATAAGGAAATACCATGATGGGCGTGTGCATGCATAAATACCATTGAGGTCAATCTCAAATTCAGGTTTCTAGAAATCAGTTATATAAAACACTAGCAATGACAGTTCATAAGAGGGATGATTATATAGTTGTCTCCTGCACTTAAATCCCGTTGCATTGCTCTAAATAGAACCTCTTGCTTTTTTCAGTTTATTAAAATGTCACTTTATTTGGAATATTAAGTATGCTGACTTGACACGTTCAGAATTTCCAACTATTAATTTTTGGCTGATAGTTTAAAACATTTACAGTTTTAATTAAAACAAACATCTTAATTGAAAGATGTCATTATAGCATGTAAGAAAAAAGGCCCATCTGAAAAAAAGGTGATTCTGTAAACAGCTTTAAAAAAAACCCATAGAATTCACATGCAATTGAAAGGAAAAAAATCTAGTCTCCTTTTTTTTTGTTCTTAAATATTTCTAGTGCAGTTTCAGATTGAAACAGGCTGTACAAGGAACATAATAAATTATTGAAAGTAGTATACAAAATATTATCTTGACAGTGTTGTTTACTGTAATTTGAGGTATTTACTAATGTTTTTATTAAGAAAAAATCAAAGGCATATTGAAATTTCCCCATTATCAAGGACAACCTTTCCTGACTACTAATGAATTTCAAAACGAGTGGCAAGGCTGGTTAAAAATATGTTTCTTGTAATCTTAACCAGATAATCCCATCTTTGCGTTGTATTTTTAAATTGTATATTTACTGTGCTTGGATACCTCACAAGCATTTTTAGTCTAGCCATATCAATTTTCCCTTCTGTTCTGATGTTTTAAGGATTCTAGAGATATAATACCTTTGCCCTGTAAAAATATGATTAGAAACAAGGAACTGATTAATCTGTTCAAAATTTTAGAAGATTTGATTTTAGAAGCATCCCACCTATTGGCTCAGTGTATTTGATCCAAAAAATATTAGAGCAGCCCAGCAAAGACTTTATTGAAAGATAATTTCTGATTCATAATACTAGATTCCATTTTAACCATAGTACTATAGTTTGACAATAAAATAATAATAATATTTGGTTCTAAAAGTATTCATTCAGCTTCACTTAATATACTGAATATTTTGAGTCAGTCAAGGTAAGTGTAATTCATAACAGTTACTTTAGAGCTATAAAAGAGGCTTTGCAACTAATAAAAAATTATTTGTAGTTCAGGTTTGAAATGAGGGATCCTTGGTGCTCTCTGAGCTTGGTTGTTTTCTTGCAGGCTTTTCATTACCCAAACTTGGTAATATCACCAGTGCTAGTACTAGTGCTCAGAGAGCACCAAGGATCCCTCAGGCTTTAAAACTTGGGGTTCTATGACTTGTGAGTTAGAACTGGTACTATTAGGAAGAGCACCTTATTTCAAAAGGTAGAGGAATCTTTGAGTCTAACTTTATTTCTGACTACATGAATGCAGCCGTATAGTTTTCTTGGTAACAGTAAGGAGGAAGTTTGCCATTGGCAGCTTCTGACATGCTTTTCAAGTTCAGGATTTAGCCTGTAGATCTGATATATCTCATGGCTTGTCATTTGGCTAAAACAATTTTAAATTAAAATAAGGTTGAAATTCTCTGGATCATAATTCTGCAGTTGGTCCCAGTTCTGAGCTTGTGGAAGCGCCCAGTAATTTACTTTAAAACGGTAGCTTTGTAATCGTAAGGACACCATTGAAAACTAGTAAAAATAGTTATTCTGCGAAGGTAAGGTAAAATGGGACTATTTGGTTTTATTTTTTTCTTTTATGCTGACATTAATTTTTTTAGCCAGTAATATGAAGAAAAATTGTAAAGTGAATTGATTTTATGTAGGTGTTAAAAGAAATTTAGAAAGCAAGCTACAGCTAATTGCGAATAATAGCTAGTGTTGAATATTCTTAATATTAAAACCAATAATTGAACTTTAGGGATGTAACTACAGTCTTTGTCCTATCCTGGGTCCCTTGACTGGGACGATGTGTGCACTGGCCATTATCATGAAGGGTTGACTTTTAGATGACTGCTGCTTTTTGTAAATTACGATTTAAAAAGCAGGCTCAAACAGAACCTGTTTTCTCTTTTTTGCCCCCAATTATTTTGAGGTGCAGATGGTTCTATTTCATTGAAGAACAGATTGCTGGATGTGCTTGGTACAGCTGTACATAAATATACATTTAAAATTTGACTTAGGGTTTTTTCTTCTACAAAACTTAGAATGTTAAACTTACAAGCTATTGTGTACACAGCGATGGCTTAGTGATGGAAAACATTTTTCTAATGCAATAAGAAAATGTTTACCAATATCTCTAGCTACTGTATTGTCTTGAACACCCCATACAAACTCCTCTTGAGAAATCCTCTCACAACCAAGATAAAATATTGCATGGCAAGCTACAGATGATGCCGAACTAGTAATGCTTTGATGTTGTATTTTACATAAGGCAGAAGTATTTTGCACTAGGCCCAGTTGAATATCTTGAAATAATTTGAAATTGAAATATAAACAAAAGGTACATAAAATGCATGTTTTATCTCTTGGAAACATTTAAATTTAAATTGTTTCATGATAAATTACTGTGCAGTACACGAAACTCAAAATAGATTTTTGTTTGAATGTTAGTTTCTGTAGCTTTTTGATGATAGCATAAAGTCTAAAGGCAAAACCTGTACGTGTTTACATAACATTCTAGAAATGCTGTTTCTGATCATCACAACTTTGCACTTCTGCAGGAGTGGAATCAACATATCAATGGAGCAAGTCACAGTCGTCGTTGTCAACTTCTCCTTGAAATGTAAGCATTTAAACATAACTTTCTTTTCATAATTGTACTATTTTGCTTGAAAATGAAGCATTTATTTTAAAACAATATAATATTGGATTGTATTATAATGATAAGCTTTTTAAAAAATTGCTTGCTTGTACACAGATTTGAAAGTTACTACTTTTTATATTTAATGGGATCTTTTTGACCACATATTTTTGATATGTTTAACTGTTCATTCCTGAACCTTTGCAAATCTGCTGAATTGCATGACCACAGTATTATGACTTCCGTTTCACTCTCAGTCTCCACTGATTCAATAAAACTTCATATTTTGTTTCAACCTAAAAACTGCTGTTGATATAAATAAGACTTTATGAGTCTGTAAATTAAAATGTATGGAAGCTTTCAATATGCATGTAGTAGAATCTGGAATTTAACGTAATATTTATAAATGCCTTTAGAAAAAATGCATTGCATTGCTAATTCAAAATCCAGTATTTTTAAATTACTGAGAACATTGGTGTTGGCTCTGAAACTGTAATGATCAACTTATGTTTATTTATACATTTAAAATCTTGGGCCTCAGATACAAAATACAATGCATGGTATTTCTAGCCCCAACAGTTAACGTTTCGGAGATTGATTAGTCTGTCTACTTCTTTTTTTAAAGATACCCTGAATGGAACCCCGATAACGACTCTGGACATGGATTGTAAGTAAAGCTTTCTCCCATTTAAATAAAATGGCACAAGAGATATCAAAGGGGGAAAACATTTCCAAATTTTCTATCATTTGCATTTTTCTTCATTCCCTTCTGTCATAGTTATTTTTCTGTTCTAACCGAAATCTTTTAATATTTAATGCTTCCTTATGGCAGAACACACCCACTGTTTTTTATTTTTTTTCTTTTATTGGGGCATACACAGACATAAACACATAAACTCATTTATCCCAATGTCTAAAACTTGCAATGAGTGATTTAAGTAGTTTATATTTTGCATTAACAGAATTCATGTGCACCTTCTTGAAATTTTTTCTGATTAAGTTTGTCCAGTGTCACATTAGAGACTGTAAATTATTATGTTTTTTATAAAAATTGAAAGTGTGAAAGCAGTTAGTATAGTTTAGAATTCTACATTGATAAGCTATTTGAACTTTGAATCTATTTCTTATATTTCTAGTTCTAGGGACATATTGGAAGTATATTTCTGAGGTTCAAAAAATGTTTGATAGCACTATTATTTGACATCTGTGTTGCTACTGTTAAGTCATATTAATAAATATTACGTGCAGATATCAAACTATGGAAATAGTTATTGATGGATTACTGTTTATTTTCATATATCTGATTTCTTATAACTTATATACACAAAGCTGAATTGGAGCTTGTGAAAGATTATATATTTTCCAAAACACAAAATCTCATTTGTTTCTCTTAGGGGTGATCCCTTTATGTTGCAGTCAACAAATCCAGCCCCAGGAATTTTGGGGCCACCTCCACCTCCATTCCACCTGGGAGGGCCACCTGTTGGATCAAGAGGTAATAAGTGAAATCAATTTCTGACAGGACTATATATCAGGATGTAATCATGCAGTGAAGTCAAATCATCAAGAGTAGAACTTTTTAAATTAAAAAAAGCTGACTATGAATATCAAATGGATGTTCAGTATGCATACTAATAACATTGTTACCTGACATTTACAGTAGTACTGTTTGATCATATTACATAAATACTATATGGAATTGAAGTGTGATTGTGTGGATATTACTTTGAGTTATATCTTTGATATGCCAAAATTTCAGATATATTCTAAGTCAAGCTGTTTAAAGTTCTGCATTATCATATGCCACAAAGTCAACACTCTTTTCTAATTAACTGTATTTTTCTCTTATACTATATTGATAGCTGGAAATGGAAACATGCAAGGACCTAGACACATGCAAAAAGGCAGAGTGGTTAGTATTCAATTCTCTGAAAAATTAATGTACATTTCCATTTAAGATTTTTGTTCAACAATTACTTTTACTTGAAATGAGTATCTGCTTTTTATGAAAGAAGTTATCCACTATCTGGATTATATATACCTTTTCAAACCATATGTTTACAAGTTTAAGTTACCACATGAAACTACAGATCGTCCTCAATCTACAACTAGAAAACTAAACTAGAACTTTGGTTACTAAGTGATGCAGTTGTTAAGAGAGTCATCACATGACTAGATCGATCATTTTATTGCAGTCATTAAGAGAATTACATTAAAGAAATCTATTTTCCATTAATTTTGCTTGGCTGAAGCCAGTTAGTAAGATCACAAATCACAATTACATGCCCATAGAGCCCTGCAGCTGTAATAAATGCGAGCTGGTTGGCAAGCATCGAAATTGTCACATCACTGCAGGGACAGTGATAGTCATAAGTACAAGAACCAGTCATAACTTCGAGGCATTACTAATGGCTGTAAAGTCAAGGGCTATCAATGTTCTATACCATGCTATACCATGTTCGATGGAAGGCTGTTCATCATGTGAAACTCCAGCCTAATTTGCCTAGATAACAAACTGCCCTAGCTGCATGTATCTGCTCTTGTGGGCAAGGTGAATTGGTATCCTCATTCTGTGTCTCATACTGTGCCCATGTACTGGTAGTTACTAATAATGTGTGCATTTGCAAAGCTGGTTTATGAGGATATACTTTTAAACTGAGTAACATTTGTGAGTGGTGTACATTTCAATTTAAGGCAGGATGTAATTGTGCATTTTTGTTCCATTGTTTTTATTGACTTGCTTGTTATGAAATTGCTTAAAATTTGCTTTTGAACTAAGATTAGAAAGTTCATTTCTGTGTTCATTTTACTGAATGTGTTGGTTATTACTGCTGGCAATTAACAGGAGACAAGTAGAGTTGTGCATATCATGGACTTTCAGAGAGGGAAAAACCTGAGATATCAGCTGCTACAGCTTGTTAAACCATTTGGAATAATCACAAATCATCTCATACTGAACAAAATTAATGAAGTAAGTATTAGTCCTTTTATATGATAGAATATTTTAACAGTGACAGCCATCACTTTCTTAAGCAGTATAAAAATTAATTGAAATACGGGGTTTGACAGGAACAAATGTAACTAAGAGAAGGAAGCATATTGTCAGTTTTGGAAGCCATTTTTTTTCCTTTTTTCAGCTTTCTGACTGCCACATATGTTAGCCTGGGAATTTGGGAGTGGGGTTTGCTTGGAGCGATAGAATTTTAGCCATAATAACATTCTTCTGAGAATCAAGGACACTTGCCTGCACCTGAATGGGAGTGTTTGAAGATTGTCTTCAGTTGTGTTGCATTGGAGTATTGGATTGGACCATGTGATGAACTTGTGGGTGTGGGGCAAGGGTTGTGAACTTTCAACTGGGTGGAGAAAACCTGGAAGCTTTAATAAATTGGAGCTTTGAGGAATTTCAGGCCTTGGAGTTTTATTTCGTTGGGGATGTTTCTTGGACCCCTTACACACATGTTTAGATCTAAAGGATACCATTTGTCATTATTTTAAAAAAAATGATTATATACTTGAAAGAAAAGATTTCCCCAGAAGACCAAGACTTAATGTATATTTATAGCAGCAAAATAACAATATTGATAGAGTTATTTTCTTGATTTTTATTCTTGCTCATCTTTTTCGGGAAAAAAATCCCATAAGTTATCTTTGTTTTATTTTAGGCATTTATTGAAATGGCTACCACTGAAGATGCACAAGCTGCAGTAGAATATTATTCAACAGCACCAGCCCTGGTTTTTGGCAAACCTGTAAGAGTCCATTTATCACAAAAATATAAAAGAATAAAGGTAAACTTCAATTTCTCATTTCCAATGTTTAATTTTTTTATTTTATTATCTCTCTTCTGATGTTAAGACTTAACATTCAATACTGTGTACTGATGTTTTTAACTCTTCAGGAACCAGAAGGAAAGTCTGATCAGAAATTTGAGCCTCCAAAGCAACAGCTTGGTCGTGTGATCCATCTCAGTAATTTGCCTCATTCGGGCTATTCTGACAATGCTGTACTTAAATTAGCTGAGCCCTATGGAAAAATAAAGAATTATATATTGATGAGAATGAAGAGTCAGGTAATTCTATAGGACTATAAGAATAAGTAACATTAATAATATAAGAATTATAGTAACATAGGTAGAGTTATTTCAATAGAAATATAGAATTTAAAAAACCTTGTATGTAGTGGTTGAGCATCTTTTGCCCTCTTTTCTTTGTTGTAATTAACTTTTCATCCCTGACATGATTCATGTGCATACGAAAATCTATCCATTAGAATTACGTATCCATCTGCTTTATCTTTACTACAAGGTATTATAATTGATTTATGATAAAAAGTTACCTAGCTTTGTTCCCTCAAAAAAGTCAATCGTTAAAATAATGTGAATTGAACACTTGCATATTTTTTTCAATAGGCTTTTATAGAAATGGAGACAAGAGAAGATGCTGTTGCTATGATGGAGCACTGTTCCAACAAAGCCCTTTGGTTCCAGGGCAGATGTGTGAAAGTTGATTTATCTGAAAAATACAAGAGATTAATATTACGAGTAAGTACTTAAGTTAGCATAAGTTTGGGTTCAAGATGAGTTCAGTAAATACAAAGTTTGATGTATGTGGCTGTTTAATGTGCATAGTGAAATAGGAATATGATTTGCTATTACTAATATTTGAAGTTGAATAAGAGACTTGTGTTCAGGTTTGGAAACACAGGAGAGCAGAAGTTTTTCCCCCATTCCACTTTCTAAATCTTGACAAGAGACTAATCCCTTCCAGAGGAAAAGCCTATGTTAGTAACTTGCGGATCCTGATTAGGTGGCTGTAAGAACTATAACAAGATTAATTCAGATTTGCTGGTGATAATATATTGAAACACCTGGGTTTTCTATGTACCGTGGAGCATATTTGTACTATTGCAATCCCTAAAGTTTTGTTTCCACATCTTAATTTGAAATATTGTTTCAGATTCCTAACAAAGGAATGGAATTGTTGAAGAAAGATAAACCAAGGTAAAAATCTTTCAATTAATTAATTTGCTTAAAAATACAAAATGTCCTTGATAATACATGTTCTGATATCCTAGATAATACATGTTGTTTTCCTTACAATATAGAAAAAGAGGAATCTCTCCAGATAGCAAAGACTCTGGAAGTGAAAAGAAATGTAAGATGGATGATACTGAGAAAGGTGAAAACAACAGTACTGAAGGCAAAGAAGATGAGAGAGAGGAGACAGAGGGGTTAGATGCAAAAGATGGTGGACAAGGAGATCAAGAGGAATCAAATTTACTGCTTGAATCTGAAGATGAATTGCTAGTAGATGATGAGGAAGCAGCAGCATTACTGGAGAGTGGCAGCTCAGCAGCAGATGAGACAGATGTTGCTAACTTGGCTGACACAGCTACTGAAGAAAAGGAGGCAGCTGAAGATGATGCTGCAAAACCTGAAGACAATACTGCAGCTACTTCAACTGCAAAAAAACTCAAAAAGGTAAGATTACTAAAAGAAAATAAATAGTGTGTTTTAACCAAGAATAGTTTTCTTATTTTGTGTTTTTTGCAAGTCAGAATGTCAAAATGCAAGTCGGAATTTGGGAAACAAAAGTTTTGAATTGTATGCGTACAAACAATTTGCTTCCTTGGCAATTGACTGTAAATCTGCATTGGATGTTGCTATTATTGCATGACAGAATGAACTTATCAGTAAAGGAGAATATTTGTAACTCAGGGTTGAAAGGAGGGGTCCTTGGTGCTGAGGTTGGTTTTTTTCTTGCAGACATTTCATTACCCAAACTAGGTAACATCATCAGTGCTAGTAAGGATTGGGGTTTGCTCTCAGTTTATATTCTGGTGGCTTCCCCTGAACTTTGAAGTAGTTCAGTAAACATGGTACATAAAGAATTTGAGTATCAGCAGCATCTGAAAAAGGGGTAAATTGATAACAGTTTTTGCAAAACGGTTGTTTTTGGAACTGAGCTTAAGCAAAAAGAAAAATCTTTTGAGACAATTATAAACCTTGAATGTTTTCTATATGAGAGAGTAAAAAAATTTAAAAATGAAAATTTCATGCCAAGAAAGGATTGACCCAAAAATATTTTCCCTTCTGGCATGAGTTATCAATTTATTTGTGGGTACAGTTTTCTTTGTACAGGTAGTCCTCAAAGGACCATAATTGAGTCCAAAATAAGTGAGACATTTTTTAAGTGAGTTTTGCCCCATTTTACGACTTTTCTTGCCACAGTTGTTAATCATTGCAATTAAATTAATAACTTTGTTAAGTGAATCCAGCTTCCCCATTGATATTTGCTTGTCAGAGGGTTGCAAAAGGGGATCTGGGGACACTGCAGCCGTAATAAATATGAATCAGTTGTCAAGCATCTAAATCTTGGTCACATGACCATGAGGATGCTGCAATGGTCATAAGTATGAAAAATGGTAATAAGTGTGAAAAATGATCATAAGTCACGTAACTTTGAACAGTCACTAAAAGTACAGTTGTAAGTCAAGGACTACCTGTATTTGCATCTTCAATTGCCTTGTTTATAATTTGATGTCTAAATATTTTAAGAACTATCTATTTCAATCAAAGTAAGTCTGACTGATTAGAAAAACTACTAAAAATCTCACTTTCTAAAATAATTTTGGAGGTGAGCATGGTGAAGTAAGAAGGTGACGCCTTTCTTTGGAAGAAATGGTATTAATGGATGGAGATCAGGCTGTTTTTCCCTCATTGATGGTTTTCCAGAAAATGTTAAAACTTAAATTGTTTCAAAAGGCTTTTTACGTATGATGCCATTTTGTTTTCTTGTTACTTTTTGTGGGCTCTTTTCTCTTTTTTGTGCAAATGATACTATGATTTACATTGGTTTTAAAAGGAATATGTTGTTTTAACAGCGACATGTAGGTAGTTTTCCAAGAAGCATGAAAGGCTTTGTCACTCTCGATGAAGTTGGTGATGAGGAAGATGCAGAACACCAGAAACAATATAAAGCTGGCCTAATGAAATTGGCTGGAAAAAGTGAGGACAATTCAGCTGAAACAAAAACATTAAAAACAGAAGAAATGGAGCAGGAAGATGAGACATTTGAAAATGGCACTAAAACAGAGAACTTAAAGTTGGAATCATCTGAAGGGGCAACCAGTACAATGACAGGTGAAAAAGATAACACTACCATGCAAGAAACTAAGACTGAGCACGATGAACATAGAATTGGACCATATCAGCCAAACGTTCCAGTTGGTAAGAATGATTTTCTTTTGGATAATATATACTGTGTGCGCGCGCACCTACACTCAAGCAAAAATGCTGGATACTTTATCTTACAGCCAATAGATGCTTGAATATCAATTTGTAATATATGTAAATAATTTTTGAGACCTTTTAAAGTCTAATAGAATGGCTCACCATAAATAAAAATATTTAGATCTGTAGATTTAGCTTTTAAAAGGTCATTGATTTACATTCAGATTGTAACTTACTCTTTTCAGTAAAAATGCATTATCACAGCTGTCTCCTTCCAGCCCTATGATTCTGTGATCTTGACATTCCAAATACTCTGTCGAATTCGCAACTTCCTTATTTGTGCTCTATATCTAGGTGTGACCTATGTTGTCCCCAGAACTGGATTTTACTGCAAATTGTGTTCCTTGTTCTATACTAACGAAGATTCTGCGAAAAAAGTTCATTGCAGCAGCCTTGCACATTATCAAAAGTTGAAGGTGAGGCAAAATTTATCAAGGTGCCCTTTACTGTTTCACACACTTTTTGAGATTAATTTGTTTTTTAATAGATAACATCTAGGAATGTAGAAAAATTACTTTTCCAGGAATGAGAAGTCTGGAGAATTTTACTGCTAGAACACTCACTGAAATGGCAAAGCAATATGATCTAAAAGACGAGCAATACATCCAACAATACAATTCATACCTACATGTTTAAAAGAAAAGGTCAAATGAGAGATCTAATGTCACTATGTTTGTTTTGTATTGCATTTAGTGAAAATCTATGCCAAAAAGACAGAATTGTTCACAAAAGTTATGAATACAATATTTAAACTCAGTTCAATCTAAATTGAAATAAATCACAGTGTTAAGCCTTGGTCATGTTAAGTATGTATGTCTACATAAGTTACTTCAGATGTAATTTTGCTGAGTCAGGCATTACAGTTAAACATGCCTTGTTACTTAACACATTTTGATTCAAGTCTCTTCTGTGTTACAGAAACATATGGAGAAAATGGCTGAAGATCAGAAACCAAAAAAAGAGGCTTAAACGAAAGGGGGGAAAGGCATGCCAATTTAAGGAGAAATGTTTTATTTTTGTTGCTAATCTCAATACAGTAAAATTGGGAATGCTATACTACATAGATCTTAGTGAAATAGAAGTTTAATTCTGTGATGTGTTTAATGTTACGGCAAAATATACATTGTCAGATCTTTGCTCAAAAATTGGATGATATTCACCATTTCTCTGCAGATTCAATCTTGAGGTACTGACAGCTGTTTCAGCAATTGAAGACCACAGAGAATGTCATCCCCATTAAACTTTTCAAGGTTCACATTCAGTTAAATATAAACAGTTACTATTTTTACCTGCAACATTCCACATTCTAATATAAGTCTAACTGATATTATTGTTCAAGGGACTTGCATTATTTCATTTCATTTTTGAGACTATTTATCAAATTTGTGTGGTTTTTTTAAAAAGTGGAAATGTTTTTTGTTGGTATATTTAGGTAGTGAGTAGGAAAAGCGATAGCCAGCTTTTAATAAATCTTGTGTTTTCTCTGAGTCATTGTTTTTCTGTCCTATTTTAATAGGAAGTCAACTCTTGCTCTTCTGACCAGTATTATTTTTCTGGGCTCTTGCTTGCAATTGAATTTAGTACTTTTTCATACATCTTCAGTATAAGCAAAAGCAACATATGAACCATACATTGTAAATAGTTTTACTTTTTTATGTTTGTACTTCAGCTCTAATCTTAGACCAATTACTAACATATAATTGGACATGCTTCAAAGTTTCCTGCCTAGAATTGGAGCATACATCTTGAGATTGGTTTCATCCTAGGATTGTGCTTTTGATGTAGCTTCACATAGCTAATATGAGTAGCAGTTTTTGTGTAAAATCTGTTTTCTGTTGTTATCACTTAACAGCTTACATATATGTGAATTCAAGTTATTATAGTGTCAAACCAATAAACCAAACCAATCGAGTAATCTGCCTCGCTTCTGTTTACAAACAATTTTTGAAGAACGTGTGGACTTCCAGAATTGCTGCTTCCAATCTAATCATTGCTCATACATACAGGGGTTTCTGGGACTTGAAATTTTGATATTATAGTTAAATATTGTATGGTAGTCCTGGTAATTGGGATCAATTTTTTTTGTCACTAAGCAATGCAGTTGTAAAATGCAGCATCACATGGCCACATTGCTTACTGTGTCAATCCTGGCAGTCCCTGATGTGATCATTAAGTGAAAATTGTGGGTCATTAAGTAAGCAACTTGTAACTTTCTGCCAGCTTCCAACAAGCAAAGTCAAAGGTGAAGCCGGCATGAACGTGCGAGTCCTAGGCAACTTAGAAGCAGGCTGGCAGGGAAGTAAATGGGTGCCATGGCCTGGTGTGAGCGTAGCTCCACATTCTGTCACCCCTGTTGCCCCCAATATATCTTGCCATCTGGTGGTGGTGATGGGGCACACCAGGCCTGGTCTTTCGCAAAGCTCCTGCTGCCCCATCTCCATAGTGCAAAGCTGTAGCCACCTCAGCCCAGACAAGCACTCAAGTACAAAGGTCCAGCTGGACCTGTCTTCATCCTGCGGTTCACTGTCCCCAGCTGACTTTCACCTTCTTGCTCCTGCCACTGAGAAAGTGCACCTGGCCAGGCCCTTTGTGACATAGTCCAGGAGACCTCGCAAGGTTTCGAGAAGGCTGCTTGAATCCTTGGGAAGATGGCTTTGCGTGCTCAGCAGCTACCTCATGAAGGGCCATGCTGGGCATCCCTTGTCAGCAGGCGCAAGAGAACAGTAAAGCTCAGTTGGGTGTGTGGAATACAGGGCAGTAGGAGCTATTTAGTGCAGCGTGCCAAAAGGGCAAAGAAATGGAGGAGGGGGGAACATAGGTGGGGATTGTTGAAGCACATTCCGTAAATGCAGCTAGGCAGGCAAGCACCCAAATTTTGATGCCATGCACCAAATAATCATCATTGTATGAACAGTATATGCTATCACAATTCATTATTTAGCCTAGCCTAAGAAATCCCACATGATTTGAAGATCTCTGTTGAGGATTTTATTTCATAACTGAGGGGGAATTACTGTAGTCATGTACTTTTGAATAATCAGTTGGATTCTTTGTGAGATCAACTATAAAAGCAATAATATAACCCATTAGCCATAAATATATTTAATGTGCATTTCTAAAGCCATTATAAAGCAATTCTAAATGTATAGAATCACGCAGGAGAGCAGAATGTTATGGAGGGCAGTATTAATGAAAAATTGATTTTGGAAATATTGGAACCTACTAGGGACTAAAAAGGGGAAACATTTTTGTTAATTTTATTGTTTTTAAATAAACAGTAAAAAACCAGAAAAAAAATGTCAGAGGACAATAGTAAAGAAATTGCTTCCAATCTTCATCACACTGAGCATAAATAAACATTAAAAATACAGATAGTCCTTGACGTATGACCACAGCGGAGTCCAAAATTTCTGGTGGTAAAATTTTTGTTAATTGAGACAGTTATGTGAGTTGCTTCATTTTATGATCTGCCTTGCCATAGTTGTTAAATGAATCACTTCAGTTGTTAAGTTAGTAACATGGTTGTTAAGTGAAGCTGGCTACCCCATTAACTTTGCTTGTCAGAAGGTGGTAAAAGATAAACTCTGGGACACTGCAAGTATCATAAATATGAGTCGGTTGACAAGCGTCTGGATTTTGATCAAGGGGATGCCTCAAAAAGCCGTAAGTGTGAAAAACGGACATAAGTGATTTCAGTGTCATTATAACTGAACAGTCACTAAACGGACTTCAGAGATAGTATTCTACCGGTTCGCTCAAACCGGTAGTGGAAATCGCGGGTGATGCCACAGCTGTTCCATGTCCAGTTCTTCATCTTTCTTTTCCTATTTTGCTATTCTCAATTTCTTTACTATTGTCCTCTGACATTTTTTTC